GAGGTGAACCAGGCCATTCCAACTCTGACCATTCAAGACTCGGGAAAGGGCTAACCCAAAATAAGCACATTATTTAAGACATACTTCCTAACTAGTCTCCTTTATAAGTCACAACTGAAAATTAACTCTGGCTCAAACATCTTTTTAAAAACACATTCTAAATCTTCTTGTATTGTGTAAATAATGTGGGAGAGGGGAGAGCTGAGGACTCTGCCTTAGAAAAAAATGCTCTTAGAAACTCTGCCCTGCTAACTCCTGAGAGCCCTGAAAATGAAAATCTCTGTGTCTTCCAAATGACAGCCACCTTGTTGTGGATCCAAAATAGCTCTCTCAGCCAGAGAGCTGTCTGTCAGTGAGAGTTCTGACAGATACATATTTGGCATTCAGAAACATGGCAAGAAGTGGTCTCAGGAAAGAAGGTTCGGTAGAATTGTCCTCCTGGAAGAGCAAGGGATATTTGGAAAACAGTGCCCCTCCCAGACACCACCAAGAGACCAACAGGCACTTCTGGAAATGAGAGAGAATTCTGATAGAGAATGAAGCCAGAAAAATGGGTGATAAGTCCCTGTTTCCAACATTAGCTCTTGTAGATCTTCAAAAGGCTATGACTAGACATAAAATGCCCCAAATTGGAAGGTTCCCATGTTGGTAAAGGAAGCAAACACATTTACATGCATAGGATTTTCACTCCCTCTAGTGGCGGGGTGGAGGCCTATGAATTGATGGCATGTCACTGCATAACACTGCTTTATAAATGGGGATGGGTTTCCACTGGAGTGCACTGTGTACAGAAAGTAGGCCATTCTTTAGGTGCCCTCACATCTCAATAGTGATTTCAAACCTGGCCTGATACTCTATGTGAGGTAGTGAACTGCCTCATGGCGCTGTCTATGGGTGAGATAGGAAGGCTCTCAGTCCTTCCTTTCCCCTCTGCAGTCCTACTAAAGGTGAAAGAACATTGCATTCACAGCAATTTACTGACCAGAAAAACCACCCAAGGAGCGAAATGAGAAGGAAACAAACAGCAAAGATAGAAAACACGGGGACTCAGAAGAGAGATACTCATACCAAGGAACCTAATGGGTGATATGAGCACAATATAAAAGGAACTAATCAGAGATAAATTTTGAAACAATTTTTCTATCTTTGTGTTCCAGTCACTTTCATTTCTTCCATTTTCATCTTTAGTTATGCAAAAGTATTTCTGCTGTAGAAATTCAGATTACTCACGAAGTAGATAGAAAAGTAGAAAATATAGAACAAAGCAAATTACAATACTTTTTTAAATTTTATTTTTATATGTGTGTTTGAATGGATGGATGGTGGAGTGCTGTGTGTAGGTATCTGCAGAAACCAGAAGAGTGGGTCAGATCTTCTGGAGTTGGAGTTACAGACAGTTGTGAGTCACTGGACATTTTGAGTGCTAGGGACCAAACTTGGGTCCTCTGGAATATCAGAAAGTGCTCTTAACTGCTGAGTTATTTCTTTGCCAAGTTTAAACTTTATTTTCCAAATGGAAGGACTATATTAAATAATACCACAACTTCTTGTGAACAGGAATTGTAGCTGTCTAATCTGTAGGTTAGTGATCAATAACTGAAATCAATCAGTATGAAATATGCAGAGTACATATCTTTCCTTTCTCTATACTCAAGCATCAATAACTTCTGCTGGATTGCTCCTCTTGGAAATCTCCAAGGCAATCAAGCACCTCCGTTTGCACAGAAAATGGGTTCCTTTTCTGGCTTCCTTACCTTATATTAGACACTCAGATACATAAGTCAGAAACTCAGATGTTACCCCCTTTTTTTCATTAGGTCCCTCAATCTCACCTTATACATCTGCTGGAAATAGGTTTTTTACTTTACCCCTTATCACTACCCCAATACATCATTTCTTTTCTAAAGAACATACCTTCTTGGGGCTGGAGAGATGGCTCAGTGGTTAAGAACATTGGCTGTTCTTCCAGAGGACCAGGGTTCAATTCTGAGCACCCACATGGCAGCTCACAACAGTCTGTAACTCCAATTCCAAAGAATCTGACACTCTTATACATACATACATGCAGGCAAAACACTGATCAATGCTTATAAAATAAAATATAATTAAAAAAGAACATATCCTCTCAACAGCACCCACTGTCTTTTGTCAAATACTTTCTCCACACTGCACTACTTAAATTATTTTTGAGGTGCCTACTATGGGAATACTGTGATGAATAGCAGACAAGGATCTATCTGTTTAAATGGAAGATAAACATTAGATGGCTATTGTGTACTATGTGAAGAGTTAAAATCGGACGATAAAGGACTATTTCAGACCCAGTTCGAAATTTTAAAAAATCACCTGGAATTTCAACAAAGGATATGAAGGATTTTGTTTGGTTTTGCCTTGCTGAGGGTGGAACCCAGCACCTTCTATACAATAGGCAAATGTACCACTGAGCAATATCTTTAGTCCAGGATGAGTTCTGAAGTCAAACAACAAAAGAAATTCATTGAGGTGATGTTGTTCCTATCAAGGTTTTTAAACATAATTGCTTTGGATGCTTGCTGAGAAAAAAATAGTAAGTCAAAAAGCACATAAAAGTTTAATCTAGGTCTGTCTCCAAGTACCTTTCTTTGTTTAAATATAGCGCTTTTATGCCTATGTGAAAACATCTTATTTTTAAAAGTTATTTCCTGTATGTTCCTCTCCATAAAATGTAAGTTCTATAAATAACAGCCATAAAGTTTTTCTTTCGACTACATCACGATGCCTAAGAATTGTACTAGGTCTATAGCAGGCATACAAATAAATATTGGTTGAAATAATGCACAAATTAGTGTATAAAGTGTGTGTGCTAACAAACAGAGAAAATAAATGTGTTTAGGCATCCAGGAAGTCTTCGTGGTGATATCAGGGTCATTTGTTTCTACTCACAGGCTTAAGCGGGCTATACAATTCTTGGTGAGTCTTCCTGGCTTTGGCTCTCCCTCAACAAGCTGTCAAACACACACACGTTTTACAGCCGCAAACCTCTCCAACTCCCCGCTAGGAGGAGTCACTAGGAGGAGTCACACAGAACCTAGAAACCCTCCCACTTCTCTGGTTCTCTTTCCTGCCGCTCCCCTACAGATTTCCGGCAGCCTTTGAGTTAGTTTGCTGGGAATAGTAGTCTTCCGGTCCAAACATACAGCGTTGCGGAGCATTGCCAGAACTACGCTTCCCAGGAAGCCTCGCGGCAGAGGGCGGCTAGATCACCTGATCCGGACTCCCGAGATGCAATGGCGGCCTCCATGCTGCGTTTGGTTCGTTCTGGAAGACGCTGGGCTTTAGCGTGGATTGACGGCGGTTCCCGCGAGCGAAGTGGGACTCAGACTGGGCCCACGTCCAACTGGGCTAGGGGACAGAGTTCAGTGGCTCAACTTTCCCTCCACACGGCTCAGAAGCCGAGGAAAGGGTATATAATCTTCATACCTTTGCCTGTCCATTGAAGTGCGGTAGCCCAGCCTGAGGGTTTTTAGTGGCCGGGAGGATTTTCACCTGTGTAACACGGGCAACTGAGGCCTAAATGAAAACACAAAGCCAGTCCTGACACCTCCACTCTCACACTAAAGTCTCACACTAAAGTCATGTTTGAACAAGGTGTGAGTGTTTCTTCCAGCCGTCTTCGCAGACAGAAGACTGGATTCCGTCGTCGTCTTACTAACAACTGGGGGCCTGTGACGCTATATTTGGCTTGTATGTAGCAAACACTGAGAGTTATTTCGGGCCACCAATAATCTAAAGACAGAAAAAAGCTTTTGTACAAAGCCCGGGTAGTAGAACTTAATGTGATTAGAAGTTTTATTAGTCAGAAAACACTAGCTAGCTGTGTTTTTATGATGAGCGTGTTCGTCTAAACCCAGCCTGCCTCCTGATTATGTAAAGATTTGCTCATCACGAACAGCTGTTGGATGCTTCAGTATATAATTTAAAACTGCCTTTAAAATACAGAAACATCAGGCAGATTTCTAATATTTTGTTTTGTTGAGATTGGCATTCTTTTAGTGTTTCAGTAAAGAAGAGAGGGAAAATGTTTAAAAGCATCTCATTTCTATTCTTTTTAGAAATTAGACCATTTACTTTCCATGCAATGAAACAGCAGAAATATTTTGATTAGTAATTAGAGCATGAAGAATTTCTGAATTTCATAGTTTATTTCCTCTCACTTGCAAACTTTGTTTCCAAATTTTAAGAGGAAGGAGTTATGTTTTCTCATTCGATGTAGAACTTAATGTATTGAAATACTTAAAACAGAACTCAATGCATGTGAGTAGAAATCTGTAGAGTATAGAAAATTGCTTGGAAGAAGTGCAGAATAGAAACATACATAGATTTCATGTGGAATAGGGAATTTTAATTCCCAAAAGAGAACTGAGTGCTGGCTCACAAGAGTAGAAATAGTCAGATAAGAGACAATTTGTAGCATTACTAAGATTTGCTAGCAGTCAAGTATGAACAAATGAAAGAATTTAAAATTAGATCTCAAGAGCTGAATATGACTTGGAGGGTTAAAAAAAAAGTTTCCTCTGATGGTTTACTGGGTTTTTGTTTGTTTGGTTGTTTTTTTGTTGTTTGTTTGTTTTGTTTTACAAGTTTTCAGTACTACTGTGTCTTGGTGATCTATGGTATCTCTGTGACCCTGCTCCTTGTCGCTGCAAGCTGTTAATAGCAAGTTCAAAATGTGGTTGATAATTTATTCTTTATCTGTTATTTCTCCAGTAGTAGAATCCTGGCATTTGTGTTAAACCTAAATGATGATGAGAAAATAAACCATTATTATTTACTAAGTGTTTATTAGCTAATAAAGTATTCACCAATAAAATGACACATTGTAAAATGTAAGCATATAAAATTTTAGTTTAAAAACACATAGGATATTATTATTTGAAATGTAGGTTTATAAAAGTTTATGTATGATAACAAATGTAACTTTTAACCATTGTCTTTCTCTTTAGTGAACACAAATGGGCAGCTGTGGTAGGACTGGAAATTCATGTCCAGATTTCCTCCAACTCTAAACTCTTCTCTGGAGCTCAAGTGTGCTTTGCAGCTCCCCCGAATTCTTTGGTTTCTTTTTTTGATGCATCTCTGCCTGGAACTTTGCCGGTAAGGTGTTTTATGTAGTCTGTTTTCATTGGAAAATGTTTATGTCATAGTGAATATGAATAAAAATTTCCTTATTTTAATATTTTGACTCACTCTAGGGAAATACTTGCTTAGGGAATTTTGGATTAAACACAATGCATTAATTGTCTATAAAGACTTGTCTCTGTAATTCTGTTTCTAAATCTGAATGTATTCATAGCATGTACTCACTCATTTCCCAAGCATTTGCAAGTGCCCATCCAACACCAGATACTTATAGGAACTGTTTAATAAAAACGAGCAAAGATCTTTGCTTTAGGAGGAGTTTAACGATGGATAGTGCTGATAAGTCTTACAGACAAGTAGAGTACAATATGATGACTCTTGCAAAGGCAAGAGGATGGCTTGGGGACCCAAAGGACTGATCCATAATTGAGCAAGAGGAAGTACTATTGTAAGAAATTATAATGGTATATTTAGTTAAGGAAGGATGGTGTGTTTAAGGTATTTGGGAAGTTGTGCAGGAGTAGACCTATACATAAAGGAGGGGAAGGAGTCAAAGAAAAGGACATCTATTATGTGATTTCACAGTAGAAGATTAGTAGCAATTGTGGTTATAAAAAGCTAATAAGCAGTCATTAATGAAGAAAAGAGACAACTACAATATAAAGAGAGCTGATTATTGATTTGGCTACTCATTTTCACTTGATCCTGTGGAGTGACTGAGCCAGTATAACCCTCAGCAAGACGTTTGCATGGTATTTTTATGTAATGAGTTACATTTTGAAAAATAAGATGGAAGGAGTGGTGTAAATATTTAACCTAATATGTGGCTCACATTCTGTTCAGGAACTTTACTGTCAAGTGGGAATGGAGTTTCCATTTTAGGAGGATGTGTAGACAAGGTGGTGATGAGTGTGTTCTGTACTCTCAGACATTTAAATACCAGTGAAGGCAGATTGAACTACACAGGCTGTTGGCAATGTCTTGCATGTGTCTGCTTACAGCTTTGATTGGATTAAGACAGCATTTCAGTTCTAGAACTTTGTTCTTATCTGTGCTTATCGTCATGAGGAATCCCATCCACCCAAACCATGCCCCTGGCCACTTGCTGTTGGGTCCCTCTTGAAGGAAGTCAGATGCAGAGCCCTGTGTTGTGCACCCATGCTTCCCTCCTCTCAGGTTCTCTTACAGTGTCTGCCTCTGGAGGAAGGGTTTTTGTTTGCTTGAGAAGAGACACCTTTGCAGCATGTCTTCCTTTCTCCTTCTGAGATAAAAACCTTTTTTCCTTATATAGCAATTGACCATCAAGAGTCTAGATGTAAACTTTTGAGTTGTGTCAGGTTTCTTTTTTTTCTCCTCACATGGGAATGTGATATCTAGCAGAGTATTTGGGGCATTTGGGGCACATTTAGAAACATATTTTTGTAGATAGGCAAATTTTCTGTAAACCGATAACAGATTCTTCAGTTGTACCTAAGTATAGTCAAATATTAGAGACAGATCCAGATAACTAGCAGATTAGCATATTTGGAAAGAGTTGTTATATGTGTTATATAGTTTTTCTCTGTGATGAGCAGGTCAATAAACAGTGAGTGCATTGAGAACATGTGCACACTGAACTTGCAATAACAGAAAAGGCTACAATTACAGTTTGCATAAGCAAAGCCAGCAGCACTCCTTGCTCCAGCAGTCTCCATGGCTGTTCATTCAACAGGGCTGTGCCATGGACTACCCCAGCCAGGTTTGGGGTCTTTGAAGACTAGGTGGGTAAGGATTTGGCAATGGCAAACAGAAACAAACACAGAGTCAGTTTGAATCTGAGTGCATTTTTTAGTTCTCAAGCAAGGCTTTTTTATAGAGATATTTTCTCAGGGTTTATTTTTGTGAAGCAAACCCAAACATATGACATTATTGTTACTTGGTACAGTAACACAGAAATCCAAAGCATAAAATCATCCAGGGTTAATCAAAACACAGAATCCGTCCTTGGTTAATCAAAACATAGAATTGTCCAAGGCTAACCTCATATTTCTTAAATCAAATTAATGTATTTTTATGGCCAGTTATTGTTTAACATCTATTACCTAGTTCTTATGAGTTTTTGAAGTATTGAGCTATTTTAACTCTTTATTAGAAGCTTTCTTTACCAGACACTTAAGCCTACTCTCAATGACACGTGTACAGCCATATGAAATTTTATTGTTGGGAAAGTTTTCTGCAATTTGTACTTATATGAATGACGGAATGATTTAGAAAGCATTGGTTTTTCCAGAGATGAGGTCATGGCTAGTGACCCCCTTCTCAGGGGATGGTTTATTACCTGTATCTCTTGTTTGAAATGTCAGCGTAAACTTTCAGAAATATTTTGTTAATACGAAAAAGGGATGGAAGAACAAACAGAAATTGCCACAAGAATCACAGCCCAATATTTCTCTCCAGCCGAGAGTTTTACAGCCAGTTCCAGGAAACCTCCTCCTTTTGAAGTTGCTACCTCAGTCTGTGGAACTTGTCACACAGAATTTACTGATCTACTACTGATCTGCCTTCTCTTTGGAAGTGTTCTTCTTTTAAAGTATGGGTTTTAGTCTGTGAGCCAAGGAGTATGAAAACCCTCAGACTAAGAAATTGATTAAAGCATTCCATTCCCTCTTCTTCTTTGCCTGTCATTCAGTTTACAATGTTCTAGAACACTTCTCTGAGACCCTTGGATACAGTGTTATATTCTGATATTTTTACTCTGCATCTGGTAACTGTAACAAATGAAGAACTTGAGAGAAGTTCTTTGAAGACTAGAGAATAGTATGTTGTGTAATCATCTGTGTCAAGTATTCATAATCCATAATGATGCTTGCACCTGTTATACTGTTCCCCTCCTTTCTGCATCTTCTCCAACCTCTGACTCACCGATGCTCCTCGCATAGCTGCTGTCTTCTACCAGCTACGATGCCTTGGTTTCATAAGCTCTGCTCTTCAGATCTCACTTCTGTGTTACATGTTTTCCTGAGTAGTCTTTCACTCCAAGTAGAGCTCCTATCTCCTGTCTAGATATCGGTCTGTATTTCTAGTATTGTATCTCTTTCTACATAAATGACTCATTAACATATTGGAAATATAGCACTTATTTTATTGATCTTGTTACTCCCTGCCACCCTGCAAAAAGGATAAATCAACCGGCAGAGGAAAGCATCTGCTCAGAAATGGATGTCAAAGAGAAGAATGTGTACATGAAGGTGTATATGCCACATAAACATACATACTGACACATACGCACACAAGAAAGAACATAAGCTGTTGGGAAGAGAATGATTTACTTAATCGATGGTTTTAGGAAAATTGGTTAGCTATTTAGAGAAAATATTTGTAGCTCATGTGCATTAAAACAAAATTTGTATATATATATTTATATATATGATATGTATGTGTATATGTATATACACATAAATATGTGTGACATATATATAGCCTATATAGCATTATATATTACATTTAACATGTATTATATGTATATATGGTATGTACTTATATGATATGATATATAAGACATATATATACATACATATATTTACAGTTAAATGTAAAATTAAACCACAAACAAAATACAGGAGAATAATCACTTGTTCTTGGGATAGGAAGATATTTTACAAGCATAAGAGTAAGAAGAAAATCTCATAAGGCAAAATTACATTGTTTGTATATTTTAGTCATCCAACAAGTATTTATTGACCCGCTGATTCTTTTAGGAGTCTGTTCTACAAAAATAATTTTTTAAAAAGTGAGTTAAGACTTATCTGCAGAGATGTCTACAGCAGGACTGCTTGTAATAATGTGAAATTGGAAACAGCCAGAATTTCCCCAGTGGTGTGGGACTGGTTGAGTAAATTGTGATAAATGTATACAGTGAAGTATTATGAAGCCACTAATAATGTTTATGAAGATGTTTCAGTGGCATAGGAAACTGCTAAATATAAAAATTTCATTGAGATGAGTAGAATATATGTGTAGATAGATCACTTAATCATTTTTTGCCTCAGTTTCTTACAAAGTGAAGGTAATGTATTAGGCTCATTGGATTTTTATGAGAATTAAATGAATAAACTCTTTTAAGATGCTTAGTCACTCCAAGTAATATGTGCTTCATAAATCTAACCTATTAGCATTAATACATAGTGACTGGTGACTTTCATCTTTACAAAGACTCCCTTGAGTTATTAAGCACAATTTTGTTGCCAGCAACAGCAAAAGTAACTGATACAGACAACAGTTGGTATCGTTATTTGCATTTTATCAGTTCTAGGCCACAGAAATAACTCAATGCCCCATCATTATAGATACATTGAAAATTATGTGAGCTATAATAGTATATTAGACAAAGTCATTTCTCAAAAAAAAAACTTCAGATTACAGCAAAATAGAAGGCTGCTATGTTTTATTTTAATGTCTTCTTATAAATAAGAGATTTGCTTTGTTCAAAATGCAGTAATGGGTCATTTCAGATAGACTAAAGTCTTTGTCTGTAGAACACATTTGATCTATATTATGATTTATTTTGCAAAGAGATGCCTATGACTACAGAACCCCAAAGTGGCTATAAGAGAAATGGTGTTTTAAGTGTTTGCTAAGGGCAGTCATAAACACTTACTGAGTACGTTCAAAGTGCACAGGACTATCTCCTGATTTAGTAAAAACAATACTTCTACTTAAAGTATAATGTGTTCTTCCCTTTGTGGTTGCCTTCATTCCTTCACACCACTGACATTTTTTTCTCTCTCTAACAAGTGCTTCCCTGTACTAGCTCTAGAGAGACAGCTGTGAGCCAGGTCATCTTGTCCTCACGGAGCAACTAAGCACATTGTGATAGTACCTGCTAATACATGTGTAAGTAGTAAAAATAAAGTTAGGAAAACATGGAATGGGCAGTCATAATACAAGGAATTTGTAAAATTGACTAAGCAAACATAAATGGAATGTACAGATGTGTGCTGGCTAGTTTTATGTCAACCGACATCAGCTAGAGTCATCTTAGAGGTAGGAGCCTCAATTGAGAAGATGCCTCCGTAAGACTGGACTGTACACAAGCCTGTAGAGCATTTTCTTTTGTTCCTTCCTTTCTTTCTTCCTTCCTTTCTTTCTTTCTTCCTTCCTTCCTTCCTTCCTTTCTTTCTTTCTTTCTTTCTTTCTTTCTTTCTTTCTTTTTTTGTTGTTGTTTTTCGAGACAGAGTTTCTCTGTGTAGCTTTGGAGCCTATCCTGGCACTCGCTCTGGAGACCAGGCTGGCCTCAAACTCATAGAGATCCTTCTGCCTCTTCCTCCCGAGTGCTGGGATTAAAGGCGTGCGCCACCAACACCCAGCGAGCATTTTCTTAATTGGTGTGGGAGGGTCCAGCCCATTTTGGGTGATATTGGACTGGTTGTCCTGGGTTCTATAAGAAAGCAGTCTGAGGGAGCCATGAGGAGCATTCCTCCATGGCATCAGCTCATGCCTCCAGGTTCTAGCCTAGTTTGAGTTCTTGCCTTGGCTTCCCTCAATGGATTCAGGATATGTAAGTCAAATAAACCTTTTCCTTCCCAAGTTGCTTTTAGTCATGGTGTTTTATCACAGCAATAGTAACCCTAACTAAAACTAGAGGCCAGAAGAAAACCAGGTTATGACTAGAGATTAGAACACACTCCATATGCTGCCAGCCGTAAATAGCACTGGTGTCTGCCCTCCATTGATACCTTATATCTACCTGCTTTTCCAGAAGTTCAAGTGACCTTGTTTGTCCATCTTTTCTCTTCCCTTTCTTCCCCAGACTAGAATCTGTAAGGTGGCTATGGAGAGTATGTGCGGGAGGGAGGACTTTCAGGTTGCTCTTGTTGCAGAGGAGTGAAGGTCTGTCTCCCAGTAAAAAGGTGACACAGCCTCCAGACTGCCTCAAGTGGGAGGCCACCAGTCAGCAGCCCTGGAGAGTCACATAGAATGTTTAATGAGCACTTGACTAACTCAACTTCAAAATGTAGCTTCACCAGACAGAACATGATGGACGAGTCCTTAATAAAAATGAAAGTTAAATGTTCTAGGAGGCAGTAGATAATGGTAGAAAGATTAAAAATATGCTTAAAAGCTTTAGTAGATATCCTCTAAGATATAAGTATAAAAATGAGCTCTTAAAATTAAAATTATGGTGCCTTTGCCTATTATACACACACACACACACACACACACACACACACACACACCAATCAACAACTCCAAAAGAAAAGAGGAAGTCAACAAAATCTTCCCAAAGCAAAACAGATAATGAAGTAAGTTGAACAATAGAAGAAAATTAGAGACTCAGCCTGGGTAGTTGAGTGTCTGATGGATAGAAAATAGATGTGAGGATGCTTTCACACAGACAATACAGATGTGATTCCTGAAGCACACATATCTCTGAATAAAAAGGGCCTGTCAACCACCCAGCACGAAGAAAAAATCAGCCTCAACTGTAGGCATGCCATGCAGTTCATGAGCCCTGGGGCTGAAGAGAAGATCCTGAAGCAGCTGAGAGAGAGGAAAGTAAAAGGGCTGGTCATGTGCAAAGAACTGGGTTCAGAGAGACAGTAGACCTCTCAGCAGCAGCACTTAACATCTACAAAGTCTTATTATTCTTAGCAGAAAGTAAATCATTCAACTATAATTCTGCCCCAGTACTAGCAGTCAGTAGTGCTGTAGAATAACATCTGTTTTAAATGGGTAGCTTCCATTATCCAGGTCTTGAGTAATGAAGAGTCCAGGTAGCCAGCTGTGCAGCAGCCCCTGCAGCTGGCATAGGGAGGAGGAAGGTAGTTTCAGCAGAGAGGACTGGGGATGATGGGGAGGTGCAAGCAGCAGGTGTCTATAAGCTAGGCACTCTAAGGAGATTGAGCCCCAAGTGTGTACAAAGAAGCAAATGAAAGGGATGTCAACTATAGGAGGACAGGACGTTCCAGAAAGGGAAGAAAATCACACAAAATCCCTCAGTAGAAAGCGTATTGAAGAAATAATAGAAGCACTGAACCCTGATGTAACAAAATCTATGACACAACTCAGATAATAGGGAGAAGAGCAAAACTAAGCATATTTACCATACATTCTAAACTGACGGGGTGGGGGGAGGGAGGGAGAGAGAGAGAGAGAGAGAGAGAGAGAGAGAGAGAGAGAGAGAGAGAGAGAGATTCTTTAACAACATTTGGCCACTTATTAGTCCTCTTCATTTTAGACCTCTAGCTAATAGCTTGGCTTTATTTATGTTAGAGGAGGGGTGGGATTGGAGTTATTGTTTTGTTGTTTACATTTTAATGGGCAATAGTAAATGATTTAGAGCTCTGAAGAGGCAGATTTTTAGTAATAGGGATTTCTCTTCACTGGGGTTTCTTTTTCTTTTATACACATATTTCCTATATTGCTTTCCAGATTCTGTTGGTGAAATTCCTTCTTTTGTTCTCAAAGGCAAAACAATGAAGAACCTTTCTTCCTTCCATCCTTACAACATACACCCACACTCAGGCTCCTGCTGGTGCCGGAGCTCCTGTTATTGGCATCGTCATCTGCCATCCTAGTAGCCTGGCTTCATGGAGGGTGAGCTCTCAGGGGTGAGCATATTCTATCTTTTAAACAGATGTAAAGTAATAAAGCATGAGTAGGTCCTTGTGAAATACCTATATAAACATGCTGGGGAATATTTCCTGTTGCTACTATTTCACCTTGAAACTCACATCAGTTAATTCTGGAAATGAAGTGGACCACATCTTGTGCTCCAAGTTCTAAAAACAAGTGCACCATGTCATTCATTGTAACAGCTTACCAAGGCTGTCCTTCTGCCAGTTTTTAGGAAGGTTTGTCATATGGCAAATAGCCAAGCAGCCTTAGCCTTCACCAGCAGGTGATGGATTTTTCCAAAGGTCTCCTGGCACAGCATATTATTTAAAAATAGGAAGATAAATACCAGAAGAGGCTGCCCAAAGATCTGAAGGTGGTTGCTGGCAGGAATATGACCAGGTGTCTGGGGGTGGGGTAGGACACTGCTGCCTTTCATTATCAGTTAAAGTATTAAAAGTTAAGTGAATAAAGACATGGGAGGAATTCATAGACAAAGTCATCTTTCAAAAGCAGACATCTTCAGAGCACAGGGGAAAGACTACTCCTCCTTGTAGCCCAAGGGGAAGATGTAACTCTCTTCACACAAATACATTTGTGTGAATTTGGACAAATACATTTTGTAGGTTTGAGCATGTCCTCTTCAAGCAAACACATTTCTTGTGCCTCATGCTCCTCTTGATGTTAGTGTCTCTTGCATTCTGGGCCTGTGGGTTATTAACTCTCAGTTCTTGTATACTTCCAGCTGTTTGTGCTTCTCCCTCAGTCTTGAATAATAGTGTAGAATTCCACATTGACATTTATTTCCCCTCAGCACTTTGAAGATGTGATCCCACTGTCCTCAGGCATCTGTTACTGCTGTTGAGGAGTCTGTGTCTCTGTAGGTAATTTGTTCTCTCTGAAAGTGTTAGCCAGGATAGTTCCAGGTGTGGGTTTGTTATCGTCTGTTCTCCTCTGTGCTTCATGTGGTTTTCAACTTAACTGTATGTATCCTGTACAGTAAAGATGTCTCTAGGATGAATTCATGACAGCTTCCACCAGGGCCCATTGGTCTTTACTGGATGAACAGTTCCCACATTAATTTCTCAACCCCTTCATCTTATGTAGTACCAAAGTCTTGATATGCACTAGAGCCAGATCCAAGGTCAAGGTCTTTCTTCTCAGAGTTGTCTTTCACCCAGGACCAGAGGTGGATGACCTCCTCTAGGTTTGCTTCCCGGCCATGGCAGATTTTCTGACTGGACTAGGAGTTTTGGTTTAAAGCTTTCTTCAGGGATCCACTTAAGACCTCTCTACCTTAGTGGGCTCAGAGTTTTGACTTCTGCTCCAGGGTGTTTTCAGTTGCCCACAGCTGGAGTTTTCAGCTGCGTTCACAATAATGATCTACTAACAGAGTGCTTGTTCTGTGGCAGATTAGCTTATTTTAACCTCCTAACAACCCAGTGAGGCAGTTACTATGGTTACCACAATTAGAAGGTAAGTGGAGAAGCCAGGATTAAAACCCAGTAGTGTGGCTTCCAAGCTCATGCCCTTGTCCCAGAGCTGCCCTGATGCTTGTGATTTCCCAGGACATTATGTGGCCTTAAATGCACAGCACCGCTTTGACCCCAGGTGATTCTCTTTCTTGCATTGAGTTTGACTGCTGTGTGTTAGATATATACTCATGCATATGTGTGCATTTATGAATATCAATATGTACATATGTTTAAATATAACATTTTCCCTGCCTCTACCCGCTGTTCTATGAGTGTCTGTACCATGTCTGCTTCTGTCAAGGCTGCCATCCCGACCTCTGGGTAAATATCCCTTCCTGGTTCTGAATTAGTGACCTTCCCAAATGGCTTTTAGGTGCACAGACATTTTTTCTTTTTATTTTACATTAGTTTTAGAATTTTATGGAATTCCATCATGAATCTTAAGATAGAAAAGGTCAGTCAGCCCATTTCGCTGCTTATTGGCGGGATTACAGCCAAACCAAGGACAACATTCTTTGTTTTTATTAGCAAGGGTGCAGCCTCGTCCATTAATAAAATAAATAAATTTCGACCAAATAAAACTTTCTACTGTGTAGATTGCCCTTAAATTGTTAACTAATTATTGGCCTACGGAATTATAAACAGGATCCTAGATTACTTGCTTAGAGTTGGTTATTTCCTGTTCATCAGTGTCATTCCAGTTTCTCTTGTTGAAATACTCTGGATGTGGAATAGGAAGAAGATTATAAATAAAATGTATTTATTTGCTAAAATATCATAGGGTTTATAAGTTTATTCATTCCATAATGGTCCAAATGTGTCCAGGAATGGTGAGATTTTAGCAAGGCATCATTTGTTTGAAGTATATGCCTATGCAAACCTGCATGTTCTAACACACATACACACTCATTCATTGTGATTTCAACTGGTTCATTCTCTAAATAGGAGAAAGGGGAGAGAAAACACTTGCCCCTACTGTCCCTGAAGGCAGGGATGCTCAGTGTGGCTCAGTAGATAAGTTCCTCTGATAATGAGATTGTGCCATTAATGAAATTAATTGGAAACCTGTGATCTGCTCTTGTTTTGTTTATGTGGAAGCTCTTATCTGTGTACAACATGGTTTGTACCTAGCAAACACAAGACCTCGTTTTTTTTTCCCCCGAAAACTGAGCAAAAACAATAAAAGCCATTTTTTCATAAGTTTATGCAAAAACACTCTTTTCTCACTGTAAGACTGTCTAAAAAGCTTTGGGGCTTTCCATACCAGAGTTGTTTAGATTGGCCCTGGCAATTAGAGCATTGATTACCACATTTTATATCTTTTATTCATGAGAGTATATACTATTAACAGCAAGGCACATGTAAAGGAGAATAAATATGTTTTGATGGACACCCCCTAAGAATCTGATAACAGTGCACACAGCACACATTGAGCTGGATATACATTCTTGAATCCAAGCTTGCAGATTGCACCAAAAGAAGTCTTGCCTCTCTGAAAATGATGATGTGGATGCTTTTGTAAAGTACTTGAGCTTAATTTATTTTTGAAATCCTTATGACATTTATTGAAAGTTAGGTAAGTCAGCAATATTCCTGTTCTCTAAACATAGAAGATATTACCTACAGTGGGAAATTACCAATACGGAGTCAGGTAAAAATATAAGGGTATTTAATAGGGAAAAGCCTTACTTACAGAGCGACCTAACCAGCCGGCGTGGCAGCAGTCTGAACGCAAGCCCAAAAGAGCAACTGAAAGCGAAAAACGCAGTCACCCTAGTCCCCTGACCACGCCCTTTCGAGGCGTGGTCAGGCACACCTGTAGCCAGCCCCTAAGTAGGCGTGGCTACAGCTTCCCCTACAATTACCAATAACTTGAAGGGCCTAATAAGTTTAGAAATACTTCACTAGATCTAGAGATGATCAACGGATAGGCCTTCCTAACCCTTAATTCTGAACATAATCACAAAGTTGTTTTTAACTTAAAATTTAGACACGAAACAGTAAGTCAGGAAAACATTGGGGAAATGTGTCCATGGGCACACACTATAATGCTATCTGTTTCATTCTATGTCCATTCACACTTAAGTGACATTTATCTGGCTAAATTTGAAGACAAAATATGAGAGTGTTCTGTTAACATTTTTTAATGAAATCTGTGGAAGTTATAATTACATGGTGTCCTCAGACTTTATTTCTTTCAGTCACTCTGGTCCCTGTTACAGTTGTACTCTTGCTTTGTAGAATATGGTGTTGAGGGATGGGGCGTTTTTCCTGTATCCCTTCCCCTCTAAAGCGTGTGTATGAACATTGGCTTATATGAGTTTTGCTTTTAAACTATTTCAGTGATCCACACTTTCCCGCTGGCATACCTGTGTGTCTCATGAACTCAGATAATTAATCATGATGATGAACTTTTGTCCCAATTGGGTAGGGTGACCTCCCCTCTGTTCATTTGACTTCTTTGTAGCTTGAATTCTAATTGGTCTTAATAATAAAAACCTGAAGTCAGATATTGGGGTAAATGCTGAAAGATCAGATAAGGAACGGAGTCAGCCACTAGAGAGACCTTTTACCTCTACCAGATCCTCAGATCAAAGTGAGCAAGATCTTGTCTCCATGAATTCTCAGACTGTGCATGATCCTGTCTCTAGGAATCCTCAGACTGAATGGGCAATCCTGTCCCTAGGAATCCTCAGACTGAATGCAGTGAGCTGCTATCTCTTCCTGCCTTATATTCCTCTCTCTGCAAAGCCATATCACTCCTGTCTCACCTCCATAATTCTGGGATTAAAGCTCCAAGGTGTGAGCTTCCACTGCCTGACTGTTTTTCTTTTAGACTGGATCAATCTTGTGTAGCCCAGGGTGGCCTTGAACTCCCAGAAATCCACCTGCCTCTGCCTCCTGAGTGTTGGGATTAAAGGTGTGTGCCACCACTGATTGGTCTCTATGGCTAACTAATGGTTAGCTCTGCACTCTGGTCTTCAGGCAAGCTTTATTTGTTAAAGCACAAACAAAATATCACCACACTTCTTCCTTGTTCTGAATTTTTCCCACTTCTCAGTGGGTTCTTGGAAGCCTTTCCCTTCACAACTACTTTCTCACCTACCCCTCAGCCAGTCTTCATGCAGCATTTGCTGTGTGCGGTCTAACTGTAGTTATGCCAATTTTACTTTCTATCAGTGTATTGGTTTCATAAAGTTGATTGATTGATCATCCTTTTATGTGTTGTTTAGAGGGATTTCTGTTTAAGGTTCTGAAAAGGCAGCTCATGGCTCTTTGGGGACAACTTGATAGAATCTTGCTTAGAACATGCATATTATACCCTTACTGTTTCTTTAGATATATACATTGTTCACATACACACACACACACACACACACACACACACACACACACACACACACACACACACACACACACACACACACACACAGAGAGAGAGAGAGAGAGAGAGAGAGAGAGAGAGAGAGAAGAGAAGGTATGAAAGAATTTTCCAAGCATCTAAAACTTTTTTATGGGTC